AACGTTAGAGAAAATAATTTAATAAAATGCTGGTTAACAATAAATTAATATATTGACATTCATAAATAGCTGATACGTTGTGAATTTATTGATATTAGGAAAATATATAGTATTTTCTAAAATTATTTGCAACAGAGAGAGAAAGAGTATCAACTTCATAAAAATAAATCAAATCCATCGAGTTTGTACCTATTTTAAAATACGATTTTTTATTCAATAAATTGAAAATAAATTTCCAAACTTATTTTTTTAACAGATAACGTTATCAATAATACGTTTCCATCACATTCAAGGCGGACGATAGTAATTTCTTCGCACGCACGAGTTCGCGACGCGCATCAGTAGTAACGGATAGTTTTCGTCAGACGCAGAACGGAACCTAGTCCCTTTATCGTAACTAAAGAGGTACAGAATGTAACGGAATGGTAAAGAGCAGGATCGACAACAAGAGCAACGGACTGGGATGGAAACTACGACGTAATGGGGTGAAGCTGCACGTAGATCTACCAACAACTTGGGTTGAAGTCGGCTTAATTAACAGCTCGTGTCACCGCGAATGTTGAGAGTACATAGGTATCCCGAATAACGGTCACGTATGTCAGCATAGTACATGCGCATATGTTTGCACGAATTTGAGGATTACATTGGTCCCGTTTTCTTGAAGTCTCTCAACCAAAAATGCAATGTTCGCGACAATCGGATTGCAAGATCATTTCGCAGCGACATCGTGGAAAGGTAATGAGATGAAAGGGTAAAACGCGAGAAGGTTAAAACTAACTAAACGATGGCGTTAAATCGAAAAGAAGAAGAACAGCGGTTTTAATCAAAGCGATGGGTAACGAAGAAGTCGTTTAATCTTGTCCGGGTTAATCAGATAATTCCGTTAGTATCCCACACGTGTTTTTAGATTATCGCGTATATCATTCAATCTCATCTACACTTTTTCAGAAAAAAAAAGTCCATTCGCTTATTAAAATTATCGCGAAAGTTTTCTGACTTTCTGTGATGTGTGTACACCGCCTGGTCTGATTAATTAATGATTTAATGTACAGTTGACGAAGCGAAAAATCGATCGATCGGCGAGTTCATCAGCGATTCCATCATCCTCGTGAAACCATTGCTTTTACATTTACACGAGTGCGGATTAAATAATTGCAACAACAATAGCTTTCTCGATGGTATATATATGCTGTGGCACAAATTAAATTCTCATATGAAACTTAACAAGACTTCGGTTTTATTAAATCGATCTAAATGCGTTCACATTTGCCGCAAATTATTTTCAGCATAAAACTGCCACGCAAGCAGAACGATTAATAATCGCATGCATTATTCTTCCTCCATCCCGCAGATTTTCAAACTTTCAATATCATCATATTCGCAATCTGCCGTGTCGTTATACAAGGTATAAAATGCCCGACGCGTTGCGTTTGAATTATTAATTAGCACACACCGGTGCTGCGTCCAGTGTAGAGATGATGGCATCTATGAGAGAGGCCGGGCTACGCCACGCAACGGGGCTCTAAATGGAAATCGTTGATGCATTGCGAGCGATCATAAGGGTGCATTAAAAAACTTTATCTCGCGTCGCGCGGCATTAATCGACCGTCTCGCGCATAATGCCGTGCGCGATAATTGGCGCATAAATTATGGCGGTATAGAGCCCGCCGTGACGAGGAAAATTCCACGGGCGTCCTGTAATGAATAACGATCAATTTCCGGCGAGACAGCCGAGCGTCACGTCGGACGCTGCTGCAAAGGCCGCTAGCCTTCTCTCCCTCTCTGTCTCGATCCCTCGCTGTTTCCCTTCTTCGCTCCATCTCTTTCTCTCTCATTCGAGTACCACCCCCTTTGGATCACAGCGATATCCGAGAGCCATAATCGAGCCGAGGCGGACGGGCTTAATTCGTCGCTAACTCGATACATCGACAAGGCTTGTCAACAAGTCAGGCGGACCGTCATTTAATTACGTAACAAGGCACACCGAGGACGAGGGGCTGCCCGGGCATACGCGGGAGAAAGAGGAGAGACGGTACGACGAGAGTAACGGGTCAAAGGGGACGAAAGAGGAAGTGGCAGAGATGAAGGAGAACGAGTAGCGAGGATGAAAGAACAAGAAGCGCGTGCGACAAGGAGGGATGCTATGTGGGAAGGGTGGAAACGAGAGAGTATAACGTACGATCTTCTACGGAGAGGAGAACGGAGACGAAGGGAGGCAGAAGCGAAGGATCAGAGTCGCAAAGACAGTGGGATCTGCGAAAGGAGGGTTTCCTTCCTCTTAAACAGTACGGCGCGTATATTCGCATTACGAGTCTAAAGACGGCTGTATAATTCTCATCTTACTGAGATTAAATATACCGAGTAAATAAGATTTCAGAATCGGGCCGACATATCTGACTGCTAAATTCGCAACGAGAATACGAATCTGCAGGTTCAAGGAGCAAAGTGGTTTTCCTCAGTCAAAAGCTCGGAGCGTATATATAGAGACCGCGCGATGTACGACGGAGAGGAAAGCGGATCAATCAGCGAAGGTGGCGGGTTCTGAAAGGGTTAGCTCCGAAATACCACCACGAGGCACGCCTAAATCGGTCGAGTGTACAGACGAACGGGGAGAGCGCGCGCGGGCGAAGGCGGAGGGGAGACTATCGCGTTCGTGTGTTACATCACGGGGTGCCGCCGTGTTTGCACTGCCTGCTCGAGGCTCGCGCCGGCGTCGCCTGAATATTCAACAGCCTTTCCACACACGGCACACGGCCACGATGCCGTGCTTGCACGCGCGCGAGCGTGTACCGCGTGTATAAACAGCGCCGACAACCGCCTGGCACTTTAGCGCCCGAGACCGTTGCGTCTTAATGTGGGTCACAAGGGGGCTGGGCACGGAAGAAGGAAATTGAGCCGCGCTGAAATCAAGGCTACCGCTGCCATTTCGCGCTGTCGCCACGTAGAGATAAATTGCAGTAACGTCAATTCGAAATCGGCCGATTAGTTCATTTCCATTTTACACGTATATAGAGAGGCGTGTACAGAAAACTGCCATGTGTATGTAGAATATATCATGGATAATGTACGCATCGATAATATCATTTTTCGCTTTTTTTTTTTTAATCTGAATTGGCAATGATAAGGACGCGAAAAAAGCGAGTGCCTAATTTCTACCGTTTCGCCAGTAGCGAATTAAAAATCAAATTAATACCGCATGCATCCGAGAAAAAAAAATGCTGCACCGCGATTTACGAATAAAAGAGAAACGCTATAACGGTAATAATAAACTCTCAGGATGTGCTTCACGCTTAGTGTCGGAGTCTGCATCTAATTTGCCGCGCTTCAAGTTGGAAAGGGAAATAGCTGCGCGCCATAAAAAAGTTGTCTGAAGGCAACGTACGGACGTACGCGGGTCCGTGATAAAACGGACTCGAAGGGCCGTCGTAAAAATGCCGCGTGCGTGCGAAAACTCGTCCGGATTGCACGTCACGGATGCGAGAGCGCATCCCCGCACGTCGTGGTGGCTTTCCGCAACAAGCGCGCCGGCGCGGAGCGGAAAGTGGGTCAGCATCGTTAGCGTTCGATGGCGCCATTTCGACTCGTTCCGGCTGCGGGCGAAAGGGACGGAAAGGGGCAGACACACAGGGGAGGGGGAGGTAGAATAGGGCGGGTTAGCACGAATTTTGCGGCCTCGCGCTACGGTTTTCGAGCACACCCCCGTGGTCATCGATCGTGGTCGTCTAACTCGATCGGTCGCTAACGAACCGTCGCCTCGTTCTTCCCCGTGAAAATGCTCTTTGTCGCTGCGTGCTCTCGAAAGGAAACTAACTGTTAAAATGGAGCACAACGGAGGGAAAAACGTCAGAGAGCCGTTAAACAAAACATATAGCTCCGGCGGTCTGTATGGTACGTCGCAAAATTATATAACAGATACGCGGAAAAAAAAACAGACCGTAAAAAGCAGTTACACGATTTCGCGATGCACGAGTAATTAAAGAACAGCGCAATTATCAGTTTGAACCGCGGACCAACTTCCGATTCGCGCACGTAACCGAGCACTTTATTTCAGCGAACTTTAAATCAATTGACAGAGACAATTATCTAATGTCAGTTCACGTTACGGAGCGCGGTAGGTTTTCGTTATTTCCGCGAGTGATTTCAGATTTAATTAAAATATACTGGTAAAAAAAATGCGCTCTCGTCAAGAACGTAGCTACATTATGCATATACGTAATTTAAACAAGCTATACGTATATGTGTACACAAGAGAATATTTAAAAATAATGTTCCCGGCATGCGGCAGTATAATTAAGACTATCCGAGTAATTTTATTCGGGTAAAATGAGGATGTGCGTCGCGCATGATAATTATTGACAATGGGACGCAATTTTTTTTCCTACCGAGTACGAGACAGCTCATTTAGGATTAAAAACTGCGAGTAGCTTTAAAACTCCGTGATTGTCAAGCAAACGATTGTTAAATAAATTTCATTATACAAAAATATCTTTTCGGGGGGTGCACGATCGCTTGCCGTTGTCACGGCGGCTGAATATTCTGATTGATAGTAATTGCATAAATATTCTTGATGCACATATGAGCAGTCGTACCTGCGGAAGAGCCAATTTGAATGAAATTCGAATGACAATCTATCCCGCTCATCTGTTACAGATCGCTAACAAATGCCAATATCACATTCTATCAAAATTATTAATGTTTCTGCATAACTATATTTAGATCGTAGCAAATATAACATTAACTCCAGTCATCGAAAAAAAATATAATTTAGAAGAGAACCGAAAACAGAACTGTGGGAAATCCTATATTTTTAATAAACTAATTGCCTCAAAAAAGCTGTTAGATTGTCTCTGTACGCTAAACATTAATTCATTCTCCATCGAATTAATTTTCAGTTTGATCTCGTTATATTTTCGGGTGAGGCTCACGTCATTCGCAGGAATTCCGTCTCTCTCTCTCCAAAGCACAATGATTCACATCGTCGCGCCTTGATTCTAACTCACCTGACACTGCTGTGGTCCCTGCCTGTTCGGCGAGGAGGCCTTCGGTCTCGATTTCTTCACTCCCAGCTTCCCAGGATCACCGCCACCGGCCCTCGATTCCTCGCTGCTACCTGAAATCACAGATATAGAACCCGTTAAATTGCCGTAACGCCTCGACGTTCGACGAATCGGGGAGACAAATCGACGTTGCTCGACTAGTCGCGAATTGCCGGAGGAGCAAGGAGTCGTTTCCGCCGCCGCTAGGACCGCTTCTGAGCGATCTCTCCTCTATCGTCGAGGACTGACAACTTTTTGCGGCGACGACGCCCAAGGTTCGCTCGTCCCCCGCAACGTTTCTTCCGCATTCCCTCCCTCTCCCTCGCCCCCTCCGACATCGTCTCCTGTTTTCCTCCACGTCGTCATGAGAGACGCGAGGTAGCGTCTACAAGACTTCGACGTATGGAAGATTGATTGCCTACCGTGTTCTTTTTGCGCGCGACCTGGGATATACTTAATGGTCGATTGGTCTGGTCGTCAACATCGATCGAGCACCGACTGTGTCGTGAAAGAAAGGATCTCTCTAGGTGGCTTCTCGCCAAGGATCACGTGGGTTTCCTTAACGAGAGGCTCGCCTGTTTTCTTAGGAAACGTTTTAAAATGGTATCAGTCAGCGCGTACACTCTTAGAAAGCTTCAGCGTATATCGAAATCAATAATGTCAATACAACATACAAATTATACTATAACAATAATAAATGATTCCCTTCCGCTGAAAATACTTAATGGAATATCACAGATAGAATAGCGACAAAAACTTTGAAGAATTTATAAGGAATTGTAATGCATTATCAATTTTATATAATATAAAAAAATATCTAAAAATATCTAAAAATTGTAATAAAAAAACTAAGCATTATGTATGACAATATATTATAAGCTTATAAAATCAGAATATTCTCTAATCCGCTTATTGAATATTCTCTGATATACGTTTACTGAATGTATCAAATAGGAATTTATACACGGAAAGATTTTGCTGAATCCAGATCTAAAAATTTTTTTGTTCAATAATTTTTGTTCAATAATCAAAATAGTTTTGTGCAAAAATCAAAGTGATTACTAGAATATCAAAACATTTTATAGCAATGCTTATCAGTTTTAACATTCCAACAAATTATTTTGATGATTCAACAAAAAATTATTTTTAGATCTATTTTTAGCAAAATTTATAGATCTTTCAACAAAATCGTTCTTTCCCTGTACAATGTGTACATAATCGTTGCAGTGTTCCAATATCGAATAATATAAATATTAATAAATAAATTTCCTCTTTAATAATATTGTATCACGTGATAATCATAAACGTAATACAGTTTTGCACAGTAAAATTTGATTGTAAAATAAAAAAATAGAGATTATCTCTCAATCGTTATTATTAGTTATCTGAGTCAATTGAATTATATTAATCAATGCATGATCGGAAAATGTTTCCGACTGACGCCCGATTAGGGAGAACAGCATCCGTCTGCAATTTACTTCTGCAACGGCGGGGATGCTCGTACGTCTCTACGGGTCGTCGTTACCGACGTGCAACATCTGCGATCATCGTTCTCCTCGCCGTGCCTTGCTTCCTCGCGAGGCAGCTAATTAATTATTGTTTCCGAGCTGCCGCTACCGCAGCAGCGGCGCTGGAAACTCCCGGTGCACTATTTGCACAGCGCGAACTGGAGGAAAGATGGGCTCGCTTAGTACAAAATTATGACTCATACAGCGTGCGAAAGATGAAGGTCGACGAGCGATTTTTCCTAGTGCAATTTTCGTACGTCGTGGGAAATCAACCGGGAGTGCACATCTAAACAGTCTCTGTCTCACGTGCAAGCGATTATATTGCGCTATATTTCATGTCGAAATAATTACGCGAAAGAGTACGCAGTCGGTAATCAGTTAAGGCACACGAATAAATCAAATTACATATAATGTTATATCTTCTGTCGAGACGCAAAGTTCGAGCCTAAAAAAAGTCGCAATAGCGCCATCTTTTCTTAAAAAAAAAAGCCTCTCCCCTTTTTGTGAAAAATAAATAGATAAACAGACGGAAAAGTCTGTAAAAATAACGAAGTTACTCTAAACCGTATTTATACTTTATACGCAATATCATACCGATTATTGATCTTCCGCGGACAAACAGGATTTATCCATCCCTCTGATAAAACGGGGGAGGGGGGAGGAAGCTTTCCCGGTTGAAAACCGGGCAGTTTGTATACACGGAACCCTTTACGCGGATGTTTCTCGCTCGTGAGTTTTGCAGCATCGCGTACTTCGAAAATCAGCAGGCTGCGAGTAAACAAGTCTTTTCATCAGCTTCGACGGGCGGGCGGTGCGGCCGTATTTACCGGAAACTCATATAGTCCGCCGACTGCGAGCGCAAACATCGAAGGTGCACGCTTGGTGCACGGCGAACTTTAATAATTTTGTCTTCGAGCCCAGCGAGAGAAGAGGTGCGACGACGACGCTACGCCGCGATCGTCTCGCTTGACCGTGTTCGCTCTTAATAGATCCCTCCCTCTTTCTCTCTTCTTCTCTCGCTTGGCGCGGCAATTTAATAAATCAACGAGCCTGTCTTCGATAGACCGGCAACACTCTCATACACATACACACATACACACGCGCGCGTGTACACTCGGCCGGAGTTTGATAAACGGCGGCTTCTCTCACGGCCGAATAATTTGCCGATCTCGATACGCGAGGCTCATCCGAATTCGGCCGCGATGCGGAATTTCAGGCTTCGCGACCGCGATTACGTTCGATAAATTCTTCATCGATTTTCGCGGAGATCGCGAGCGCGGGCGGACGAGTGGTGCGCGCCGAATAAAGCGAGTGGAAGTTTGTTATCAGCAAAATCGCTCGTGCCCGCTAGATAGCATCGCTCTAAATCATTGTAGCCGGGCCAGTCCGCGCTTTCTCTTTTATGTGGATTTTCTGCAACGTGGACTGCAACCACAATGCGATCAATCAAATCCGTCAGAAAATCGTGACTCACGCTCAACCGAGAATTGGCGTTCCATCAGAGCGGCGCGTTCACAATGGTATCAAAAGATTAGATTGAAATGGTAATATGACGCATGTTACGGCTACCAAAAAAAAAGAGAACCTCGTGTTAATAAAAAAAAAAGCTTCTGCAAAATAAATATTTTCATTATAAAAACGGGGCGTGAGTTCCATATCAATTTTTCTCCCCGGCGCTAATCGTCGTTGCCGACTACGAATTTCCAACTGTTATTCAATTACGATGCTATATACAACAGTTAGCCCGACGTATGCACGCTCATTGTGAACGCAAGGTGTGAGCCGCAACCTGGGTTCCCGCAGCATAGGGATGCGTTTGTAATTCCATTTACCACATAAGTGGATGGCGCAACGTGCAGATGGCATGCTTAATAAAGTGTACTTAACCAAGTCGAGGCTGAACCGCGCCTCGACCCGGCCTCGATTGCATTCGCGTTTCGTGCCCTCCCTCCTCATTCTCCTCGGCGGTATTCGAACCACCGAATGTCTCAGAAGGTGGAGTGCATCTCGCTACGACAACTGTTCATAATTGCATTGCCAATTGTGATATAGACGTGTGTATGCGCGCGCGTTAGACGTTTCGTGTTAAAATGTAATTACGTCATTATTCAGAAATAAGACAGACGTTAGTTAATTTTTTTTTGCAAAAGAATATCCAACATCGATGTCATAATTTTGTTGATAATTGATAAAAATTTCAAATATTTTTAATGACTACACAAATCAATATTTATTAGACTCAATATTTTAGAATAAACTTTACTAGAAACAAGAAATAACTGCTATTACAAATAATATTTTCTATAAAGGCTAATTTTAAAACGGCATGCAGATTCAACAGACGCAAATTGAACAGCATGCAGTTTCTGAAAGACGGAAGCTAATTGAAGGGAATTAGAGCATCTTCGCACGGCGGGATCGCGTAAGAAAACTAATAATCGTGCCTCGACTTTCTGACGTTCTTGATTCGCCAATAACAACACATCTGCATAAATAACACTTCGCAGCTGTGATTCGTCCAATTATACTCGAACGATCGTCAATAATACCGCGTGCCACTGGAGGACGAACGTGGCCGTGACTGCAAATAATTCCGCGGTCGATCATACTAGAAATATTAGCAAACTCGCACGTGCGCCCGACATTCTTGGCGGGTCTGTCGATGATCGTAAGATCATCGTGCATCTGAACCCCTGCCAAATTGGCGACAGACACAGTCTGTCGTTCATAAATTCGTAAACATGATTTGGCAGAAGAATAATACTTAGCTCTAAATTCTACAACGAGATCTATACTGTTGCACTTTTGTTTTCCTTCGGAGCTATGGTGAACTCACGTGTGAAAGAAAATATTAAATTTATTCTTCATTAACTAATCTTCTTAAATACTCAAAAAAAAAACCGACTTGTGTAAAGACTAGGTTTATACATAATTCATAAATTATTCATGAATTTATGAAAACTTCGTAGGAAGATGACAAAGGTTAAATGTTTAAAGAGACACGCATTAAATATATATTTAAAGAGAAAATCGTAAAAAAAAGAATTGTAGCTAAATATCAGAATGGCAGAATATCAACACATTTAACGCACATCTCGTTATTTTTATCCCCTTTTTGATGTCATTTTCAAGCAACTTCGTATGATATAAATATCAATTAACGAGCATGAATACAAGACTTCAAAGCCGCGGAAATCTCATGGATGTGCTATTACTTCAAGAAACGGCGTATCTGCAAATGCGATTACGACCGAGAGCTCCCGCACACGCCCCAAATGATTTTCCCTCCTCGAAATCCCGCGGCTTAGGAAGTGGGAACGGGTCTGCTCGGCGAACGTGCATAATTGCACGTTCGGCGTTGATCACATCGGGGACACGTTCCGTATACAAACGCGCGGTGTCTAATAAGACAAAGCAGATCGTATGCATAAATCCCTGTGCAATTTTCCGCGACATGATGAAAAATTTACACTCATGCCGCTCGATGTGAAGATCTGTAATGACGTTATTTCAAGACTCAAATTAGAAATAGTCAAATCATTCGCAGTTGAAATTATAGAAT